TATATATATATATATTTAGTATTCACTTTTTTAAAGATAATTATATCTTTTTGTTTTATTTTATTTTTTTACACTAATTTATATTTAAGAATAAAATAAAAAATATATATTTACAAAACTATAACTGCTTTTTTTTTAAATAATAACTGCCCATTTTTTTATATATAGAAATACTTCTTTTTTTCACGAAAGCACCTGCTAGTATATATATAAAACATAACATCCACAAGGTTTGAACCTTATATCTTATAAATATTATTCGAATTCTCTATCACAAGACTAATCTGGATGAATTTATTTATTTTATTTATTCTCATGTATACTTAATACTCAACGCTTTTTTTAATAACTTATATACTCTAAACAAGGCTAATTTTTAGAAGAAAAAAGGTTTACCAATTGATTTTTGCTGTACAGAAAAGTTTTTTTTTTTTTTACACCATATAGAAAAGTTTTACTAGTATTAGGTTTCGTATTTATCCTTTGACGTTTTCTTTTATTTTAATCCCTATGCGAAATTTTGTTACACATTATTTTGGTCCTTAATTATGCATTTTATTCTCTAAGCTTGGTATATCAATTTTTGTTTTGGTTCCTATATATGCAAAAAAAAAAAAAAAAGGGATGACACTCTTATAACTTTAATAAACAAGAGGGATCAATTTGTAAATGGATTTTCATGTAGAGGTCAATATATGTAGAATTTTTTTCATGTAAAGACTATGTCCTGAATCGACATCTGAGACCTATAATTCTCAAAGTAAACACGCCTAATATAGAAACTAAAAATAAAATTTAACCTTTCAGTCATCGTTATATCCAAAATTTTCAAATGTTCCCCTCTCTTTTACGAAATTCCCTCCCAGTCTCCCACTCTGGCTCGAGGACACACATACAAAGTATGGGTTAAAGAAGGGACCCACAAAACCACGATAGAGAATTAAAAATTATACATAACTAAATCAAAAACTTAAATTGACCAAATTTGAAGCATTTCAAATTTAGAACAGCCAGCACAAGAGCAGAGGAATTTATTCTTTATTAATAGATCCATTAACATAGAAAAGAATGCAGGTTAATGTTGGTCAGTTTCACATGACCAACCCTACATTACATTATTAAATATCTACGTCTTTAAAACTCGAAACATACGATGTTATCCGACAATACCAATTTCTATCCCTCTGCATGCCGTATAACCCGAAAAGAACTGGTGCAGATCAGAATCCAAGGCAGCTTCATTCATTTTGAGAATTCCCATTGCCTACAGAAAGCAACATTTAACAAGAAAGGGTAATCTCCACCTCCATAACGAATTGTTATTTACATAATAAAAAAAGTCATAAACCACTTTGGTACGTTAGTGTATTTGTTAGTCAAACTCAAAGTTATGTTTATGTTCGCTTTACACCATTTTATATTTCAATTATCACTGCCTCTTAAATCACTTGTTTCTTGGGCTCGATGAAGTATGAACACTTCAACAAAAAAAAAACATGAGATACTTTCAAATTTATCGTGTCACGTGTGAATTGGTCGTGTACGTTAGTTGTCTTCTAGTGTTCTATGTGTTTCAATCACATACATTCTTACATATGATGTCCTTATAGACTACTGTCTCAAAATAATGCACTTTCAGAGAGAAATATTGCATGCATGCCCATGTCACTGACTCTAAACGAAATCATTTTGAACTGTTATTGGTTTTGTGCTATCATTTGGCTTTATTCAATCACTAAAGAAAGTGAAGAAAAGAGGTTGAGTTATTTTTGAAGGCACGAGTAAGAGAAAATTGAAAAGGCTTTACCTTGGGAGGAGTTATTGGATTGAGTTGGTTGTTGAGTGGCTGTGGTGTGTTGGACAACGCCGGGCCAGGAGCGGCAGGTGCAATGCATTCCCTCATTAATGCTGGCGTAGAGGGTGCTCAAGTGTCTGCCACATCCACCCCACGTGTATTTCTTACAGCTTCTACACTCCACCCTATAACACATGCTTTTCCTTAATTCTTCACTTCCTCACTGAAACTATACTATTATGATTTATGATACAATACAACCAACCCATTTTATATTAACTCATTTTCAGATCATTGTTATCACTCGTTAACATCAACGCTTTCTTGGTTTAGTTGTCCCTTGTGTCACCCACTCGCTGAAGATAACGCCTAACATTGTTATTCGCTTATTCCATTTCAGAGATTCGGTTTGGCACCCTCTCTTATTATCGTATGGTCAAGGATCATCTGTAATTCTGTATCCTCATTGATCTTTACTTTCATGTAAGTGGTGCTCACATTCTTTAATTTATAAATTAATAAATAAAGATTATGTGTCGTGTGTAGATTGGACAACATCATATAATACTTTCCTCTCTTTCCATATAATTAGAGATCATAGAATAATGTATTTTCTTGCCATGATCCCTTGTCCTTGGAAATAATCGCTCGACAAAAACATCACTTCCACTTGCTTTCCTAGGTCTATTTTATTTGTTGATGGAAACTAGTGATTACTCATACAATTCAACCTTTGACGAGGTGGTGATTATACATTTTTAAAGTTACCATGCTAAAATACTTCTCACATCGCCGCATCCTCCAGTCTCAAGGTCTCCTTGTTTCTCAATCTGAAATATTTCATATCTAAGGTGAACAAAAATGCCAGAAAAGGTACTTTAATAAAATTTTATATTTATTTAAAGAAAGGTTAAACTATACTTTTTTATCATTTTATTCATTTTTATTATTTAATTTAGTCTCATTATTTTTAAATGGTTTAATTTGATCATTTGATTTTTTTTTAAATATTCAATGCTATTTTTTTTTCTAAATTAATGTTAAGGACATTAATGAAATTTGATAAATAAATATAAAATAAAAAAAAAGACAACATTGAATATTATTTAAAAATTAGATAATAAAATTGAATCATTTAAAATGTTCAATTTAATCCTATTATTTATAAAATGTTCAATTTGGTCATCTAATTTAAAAAAAAAATCAATTATAATTTTACTAAATTTCATTAACATCGTTAATTAGTATTAATTTGGACAAAATATTAAAAATTAAAAAATCAAATTAAACATGTAACTAAATTAAATTTTAAATATAAATAAAAGGAATAATATATATATATATATATATATATATAATTTAGACTTTAAAAAAATAAAAAAAAGGAAAATACTTGATCGAGAAGGAAACCAGAAATCACTCTGGCTATTTATCAGAATACAACCAAAAAAAATCTTTAGAAAACATATTAGAATCCAAGAAACAACGTTAACTTCGATCCACAAAAATCCCATTATATCACAATTCACAGCTGTGGAAAAACCCATGTAACCATTGTAATCCTTTCATACATTTCAGTTGGTGGTAAGGCACAACCCAGCTAAACCAAAATGTATATAGCTTTAATCACAATAAAAAACCATTTTAATGATGTAAGGTTTTGAACTTCTGAGAATAGGGAAAGGCGGTGGCCTCGGCCAATCTCCCTGCCCTCATGCGTCCTCCTAGTATAAGTAATAATTGTAGACTTGTCTTTCTATATTTTTCAATATTAATTTGAACTTATGTTTTAAAATATATAAAAATAATAATAATTAAAGAGTTTCTTTAAAAAATTATTATTTTCATGTATAAAACAATCTTATATTAAAAAAATCTTACATTTTATACATATTTTATAAATAAAGTGAGTTGAATTTTTGAACTCACTTGGATAGAATGAATGAGATGGAATAAGACGGGATGTGATGAACTGATGAAACATGACATGTAACATTCTCTCTCTCCTCCAATAACATTTTATTAATCCATAAAAAATATTTAAAATATTGTTCATAAAATTATAAATATTATAACTTAATAAATATTTATTTATAAAATAGTTGTAAAATAATAAAATTGATATGTGATTTTATATTTTAAAATTACAAGATTTAAATTTAATATAAGTTAATTTTTTTAAAATTTAAAATAATATTCTCATGTTGTAAAAAAAACATACATTTTTATAAGTATTTTATAAACAAAGTGGGCGTAATTTTTAAACCCACTTTACTAAACGGGACAAGATGAAACAGAACAAGATATAATAAACTAACAAAGTAGGATAGGCGATATTTTGTCAATCCTACTTCCAATAACCTTTTATTAATCCATAGTAAATATTTAAAATATTGCTTATAAATATAATAAATTTTATTTACAATATAATTACAAAATAATTAAATGCATTTATCATTTCATATTTTAAAGTTACAAAATATTTAAATTTAAGATAATTTAAATTCTTTTTAAATTTAAAATAAAATTTTCATCTTGTAAAAAAATCTTATATTTTTATAAATATTTTATAAACAATGTGAGTTAAAATTTTGAACTCACTTTATTAAATAAGACGGGATGGGACAAAATGAGATAAGATAGGAAGTGAAATTGTTAAAATTTTGAACTCACTTCATTAAAAAAGATGGGATGGGACGAAACAAGATAGAATAAGAAGTGACAAACTGAAAGAGTAGGACACGAGACATTTTGTCACTCTTACTTTCAATAAATTTTTATTAATCCATAATAAATGTTTAAAATATTATTTATAAAATTATAAGTATTATAAATATAATAAAATTTTATTTACAATATAGTTGTAAAATAATTAAATACATTTATCATTTCATATTTTAAAATTACAAATTATTTTAATCTAACATAAGTTAAATTCATTTTAAATTTAAAATATTTTTTTTGCAATGTAAAAATATATTACATATTTATAAATATTTTATAAATAGATTGGTTGAATTTTTTTAACTAACTTTAATGAACCGAATGAAACGAAACAAAATAAGACCAAACATGACATTAATAAAATAAGGCACGAAACATTTTGTTACTCTTACTTCTAATAACTTTTTATTAATCCATTATAAATATTCAAAAAATTATTTTTAAAATTACAAAATTTTTAAATTTAGTATAAGTTAATTTATTTTTAAATTAAAAAAAATCATTTTGTAAGAAAAACCTTACATTTTTATAAATATTTCAAGTAGAATAAAAAATATATATAAGATTATATACAACTTTAATACCTGTATTCTTTCTATATTTTTAAAAAATTCAAATAATTAATTATATTGTTTTAGCATACAGCTAAAACAAGAGTGACCCGTAGGTATCGTTATGGTTATATTTACTAATAAGATCAAATATCCTAACATTTTGGTCTTGGGCTCAAATTCATCTTTCAGTGTGACCGCTTCTCTCCCTAATTTCTTTTTGCCACACAGCATCTTGTTTCACTAATTATCACAAAATCACAATACATTTAACCCAAATCCAGCGTAATAAAGTGTTTAGCTAGCATAGTTGATAGGCATTGTAATGATTTTTATACGAGTAGTATTTTAAGTATTCTGAAATTTGTGACTATCAAAAAGGTGCACATAAAATCAACGAGAAAAATGAATATATGGCATAACACTTTCCCTGAAAACATTCAATCCCCTTAAAATGTCCTTATCAATACTTCGAAGTGTCACCAAACTGTATGGTAGCATTCAAAGTTCAAATTAAACACACCATACATACGAACCAAGGCCTACTACATCAGCATGCGTTGCCATCACCTTTGTCTTCAGTGGATTCTAATGCTGGTTTCTTTTGCGCGCTTCCTTCTGCTGCACTGGCATTTGATGCTCGCTTAACTCCTCTTCCTACCACCCCAAGGTGTGTGACTCCACCAGATCCGTTGGTGTGGGCAGTTGAAATGGTTGGAGAGTCAAAACCTCCACTGCTGTTGGCAGTAGCCAACTGTGAGGAAGTCACTTTTCCAGGAGGTGGTTCCTTCACACTACCTGCCTTGGCAGCTGCTATTCCTAGGATCTCAGAGAGAATTGACTTTGGGTTCGAGACTAACTGTTGCAGATCTTCAAGCTGCAATTCCACAAATTCCTATTTATAACAAAATAACAACATAAGACAAAGTAATATTAACAAAATTTATCATGTCTACCTTCTTTTCCAGCTCACTTGATAGACCTTTGAGCGTTTCAATCTCTGCTTGTTTATCCGCAACTGAGTTATTAGACTCAGATCCAGGGCACGTTTTTACATCCAGAGCTAACTCAGAAGCAGATGTCAAATCTGAACAACTCTTTACTTCATTTGTGAGACGATGTAACCGTGCCTTACAAACAGATGTAGCCTTCTCACAATAAGCAATTGCTTCTTGAGGCTTAGAACTAACCTCCAAACACAAGCATATGCGGAAATTTCTATATTCACCAGTTAAGGAGGTCTAGTGGTGGACAATAACATTTTGATTATCTACTTATCTTAAATTGCAGACTATCAATCAATCAATTCGGTAATTTATTGTAACTATTTAATTTGTTTCATTTTTCACAATCATTGAAACCAGCAAAGTCTACGACAAACACCAGAAAAATCACACATCTTGATAAGAATTATATACCAAGGATACAAATCAGCAATTTTTCTATCATCTTGTTCAACCAGCTGTTCTAAGATGGATAGTGCCTTTTGGTAATCCGAGAGGGAAGTTTCAAAATCCTCTGTATATACAAAATCCAAGTAATAATCAAGCTTTCACTATAATCATATCCCCTTTTTTTCAGTGTATTTGGAGAAGAAAGTACTAGTTAAATTTGAAATAAACATAAGAACGTGAAAATACCTCTTTCCAATGCAACATCTGCCAGTGTTGATAATATGTCCACTTGTTCTATTGTATTGACAGATTGCTTTTCAACAATGGCTCTAGCAATATCAAGCATTTTCCATGCCAGGTCCAGGTCAGTCTCATCTTCATCACCTTCTGCTAAGTCTTCAGCATCACTATCCTCATCATCTTCTTCCTGGTCGTTCTTAGTGGACTCTGTTTAATATTTTGAAAACAGAACTAATGATGAGAAACTGACTGACCAGCAGACTACCACAAAATAAGGGAATCATAGAGTTTATCCCTAAAAGAGAATAATACAATGCACTTCATCAACACTAATGATTGTACTCTAGCTTCACCAAATTTGGTAATGATGGTTGATATTGTGACACAAAGTGTCCATTTCCAACAATTTTAGGAAGAATGGTTCCATTTTTGTATTCACAAGTTTCCTGTATATTATAATTTGCACTAACCATGAGCTTTCCTTATCTCACTGGCTTATCCATAGCAGGAGATAATTCACTTTAAATGTCAACATCAGTACCATACATCTAAATATCAAATAGAAGGATATAGAGACCCGAGTAGTTCACATAAACAGTTTAGAATATTTTGCTTTTTAGTTTTTACTGTGTTATTAAACAGTTAATAAATCCAGCTAATCCATGTCTGAACTCAGCAGACTTAAAGAATTTTCTAGTAACTCAAAGAAAGGGCACATCTCATATATCCTATATCATGAAATCAATGCCACAAAAGGCTTCCCCTTATTTGCAATGAGTGGTAAGAAGGGTAGGATAATGCTTTCTAAGCCAACCTAGTTAAAAAGTAATCATTTTCTGTGAGACAAATTCCAAATTACAGGACAAATATAATCATATAAAGATGCATGGTTAAAACACTGACCAAATTGAACAATAAACTATAAACAGAAGTCAAAAACAACTAAGCAACAAGTCCAAGAAGCAAGGCAACACACTGACCATCTTCTACTGCTGTACCCTGGTCATTCGAAGACACATCCTGCTCAGCATTGCTTGGAAAAAATGCAGTGGAAGATTCAGCATTCACAGCACTCTTCACAGACCCATCTTTGTTGGACCCATGTTGAGATCCATCATCCTTCTTGGGCACATCCGCCAAAGGATCAGCTTCCTCCTGAGCCTTGTACAGAAGTGCACACCCATATCTGTAGTACGTGTGGACACACTCGGGAGCAAGTTCACCATAATGGGCAACCCTGTCTCGATCGATTTTTTTTTCTTTCAGAACATCGTATATAGACCAAAAGGAAGCCTAGAAATTCAAATTAGCTACCATTTTCTATTAGTACACCACACAAACAAACCACTTCATGAATCATGCGTGCATTCGATGTATAGCTTAGCTTAATAGTGAGAACATACACTCGTAAATTTGAATTTTTCCAACTTACTTCAGAATCTTTTAGTAGACATATCAAACTCCACGCACGTGTTAAAAAAGCGAATCGGAGAATGTATTGAACAATAAAATTAACGGAACCTGATTTCGAGAGCACGGCTAAAGTTATCAGCTGCTTCTCCAAAATCGTTCTCCTTCATTGCCTTGTTTCCCTTCTCCATTAGCTCATTCGCCAACTCCAGAGACTTCTGAGGATCGCTACCGGACGCCTCACCGGAAGTTCCAGCGTTCGATGCCAACTCTTCGCCGCCTTGCGCGGCGGTGTCGACGGTGACTCCACTCTTGTCGTTCTCCTCAGAGTTTAGGGTTCCGTCGACAGCCACCGGTTCCGCCGGATGAGGCATTGTGACGGAGGTTTCCGATGCAGGAGCGTCTTCCGCCATCCTCGAATTTGGGTTCAGAGATGAGAGAGAAAGAAAAGAGGGAAAGTGATAGTCACCTCAATTCGCGAGGGTTTGGGTTTTAACTTTTAAGGTTTTCGTTTCTGGCGCAAAACGTGAAAATGAAAAAAAGAAACCCGAATTCTGAATTGGGCCGATTAACCCGACCCGTTTGGATAACCAATTTTGCCGCGTGACACGTGTCGTGCTGGTAACGGTGGGCAATATGGTAATTAAATAAAATTGGTTAAAGTTTGGATTTTGTAAGAACCAGTGGCCACACGTAGAGGATCATCGTGAGGTCGTGGCCATGGTTTCTGCAATCTCGTCACCGTTCTCGGCTCTCTCGTTTCGCCGTCTCCAGGTGTGCAATGCGACGTCGTCTCCGTGCAAGGCGCGCGCCGTTAAGTCCGTCACGGCGCTTCCGGGCGCGGGGCGGAGGCAGCTGCTGTTTTTCCTGACGGCGTCGACGGCGTTGACGGCGAGGGAAGCGGTTTCATTGGCGCAGGACATCCCGTTGTTCGGGATACGGAAGAATCTGAGGAAGGTGGAGGAGGAGGCGGAGGAGATTGTGAGGGAGGGCTTCGAAGCCGCGGACAAGGGGCTGGTGGCGGCGGAGCGGGGGCTGGAGACGGCGGAGAAGGGGATAGAGGAGGCGGAGAGGGAGGTGGTGGAGGCGGTGAGTTTCGGGGGGTTGGCGCAGGCGGGGGCGGTGGCGGGAGCGGAGGTTTTGGGCGTTTTGGTTGCGACGGCGGTGGTGAACGGTATTTTGGGACCGGAAGCTCAAAAGTCGTGACTCGTGACAAGTAGATTGTTGTAGCATTGAATTGGATATGTTTATGTGAAAGTTGATCCAGTCACACTGTAAGACTGTGCTCGATCGCTTTGTGTGTTTATCTTTGTAGCTTTCTCATCATATCATGTGAATGAATGCATCTAGAATCCAATAGCCTTGTTCTAACTTTATACAAATATAACAAGATTAGTAAGTTTGCATAAAGTTAAAGCCAATGTGAACATGCCATGAATTTAAATCTTATTTTATCAAAGTGACTATAAAACTAAAACTGCATCATATGAGATGAAATGTTGTGGATCTTGATGAAAGTGACTATAAGCTACATCAAACGTGATTAGTTTAGGTAATGTATGCTTAACTATTTTTAATCAAAATTTTGGGTTTAATTTTGTGTGGTGAAGTTCTCCTATGTTATGAACGTCTCTAGCTCAAAATAATTGCATCCTATAATGGATTTAACAATATGTGATTTAAAAAAATATCCAAAGAACTCATTCCAACCAAAATGAACACGCAGAAACTATCATTAACCATAGTGGATTCTAATTGATTGGTATCACAAAATCAAAACAAAGATTTGAAAAAAAAAATCATTTAGAACTATATATATAAAAAAAAATTATATCACAAAAATTGATGAAACGTTGCAAAGCTCATTTAACTGTTATGATACAGTTGAATAGAGTATATATATTTATTCAATTTGTAAAAACCAAAAGTCTCAATTTTTTATCCTCTAAATTTCTCTAATCTTTATACATAGCATCTAAACTCTCATTAGTTATCATCTTTACTCATTTTATTCATACATACTCTTCCAGATTTTCTAGATGCTCTATTCTTCACAAATAGATTCCAATGATTTCAACATGAATTCATTCATTTTTCATGTTTCCATCACTCTTAACTAATCTTGTCATATATTGGATTACAACAAGCACATCTAGCATATAATCCATTAGTAATGTTTTCAAAACACGGATTTCCATTCAATTCAACTTCAAAAATATTACATTTTAGGAAGGATACAATTAAGATGCTTAAAAAAAATCCAAACCAAAATAATCAAAAAAGAGATACATATCTCATTCAAGTAAGAAATTAAATGTTTCGAGAATAATGTAATTGTGGTGAGTCAAGACAAATAGATCCATTTTGGATATACTAAAATAAATAAGTTAAAATATTGGAGTTAGTTGAGCATCATGAAAAGGATATTTACTTCCTTACATGACTCTTAGATGTTGAACTCACTCACCTGTTTAAATATATATGTTGATTAGATAAAATGTTTTGAGGTAATTAAAAGATGATCATAAGGGATAATGTTTGATAATTATTGTAATAGAATCATGTAAAACATGATTATTCCTTTTGTATGGTTTGAGTTGTGCACAAGCTTTATTTTTTAGGTCATTGTACATCTTGTATTAGCTGACTAATGATAATAAGAAGAAGAATAACTTTTTTATTTGATATAAAATTAAAAGACAAATAATTTATATAATTTTAATAAAAGATGAAAGACGATTATAATGTGTATCATGATAATCTACTAGAAAGGAAAACAATCACACTAAAATGTCGATAACATAAATTCAATGTTGTATAGTTCAAATGTTACTAGATGCGTTGACAAAAAGTAAAATCATAACTTTGGATGATATTTACATATGATATTTACTTGAGATAAACCAACAAGATATAACATGGTTGAAAAATATTTTTGTTTCTTAAACATGTGGTTATGTATTCAATTTCTAATTAGTATATGAAAAAAAATTATTTATTGAAAGAAATTAATCACTTAAATAAAATTTTATATTTTAAAGGACTAGTCCTTAATTTTTTTATTAAAAAATATTTTGATTTTAAAAAAATTATTAAAGCTCGAGACTAATGCAAACAATTCATATTTGATTATGCTTGCTTGAAAAAAGTAATTTAAATAAAAATAATAATCATTTCAAAGTTATTTTATAATTTCAAAGTTATTTTAAGACATTATAGATTTATGCTCATAAAAAATACACATCATTTTCTAAATGAACCACATAACTAAGTGTGTGTTTGTTTTGTTATTAAATACTCACAGATAACCCTATTTTATATTTTGATATTTTAAAAGAGTGGTTTCACATTTTTAATTAAACCACCGACTCTTCAAACATGTTAGCATACAACTTATCTTCAATTTTTTGGGGTGGGGTGGGGAGTAATATCTATCTTCAATTCCTTTGATTTTCCTAAATTATAAGAAAATGAAAAAGAAAATAAAACTAAAATCAAAGGTAAATATAAAAAAATATCTTCTATCAATTGTCGATTTTAATTTATTACAAGAACTTAAAAAACGAGTATCATGATATAATTTGCACATATCAAAGATCATGATCATAAAAAAATATAGAGAAAAGCATTAATGTTTAATGAGACATGATACACAAGTAAAGATCACATTCTAAACAATTAGTAAAAAAAAAAATTCTTTATAAAAGAAAAATAATGAATTTATCTTTGATAATTTACATAGTTATTAAAAATTATGATAATTATTAAGTATACAATGAGAAAGATAAAAGTAAATATTAAATAATTTTTTATTATCGATATAGATTATAAAATATTTTGTAAGATGATTTTATCGTAAGAAAAAATAAAATAAAATTATTACATGATTTAAATATACTAGAAGTATCTATTTGTGCAAGAAGAGTTTTTATTTAATTATTTAAAATAGGGGTGGAGTTTATCTAGTTTTTCCATATGATGGAAAAGGAAAGAAAAATCTTGCTACGCTAACGGTGCGGTTGCAATCTCAAATCAAATTGAGCACTGCAAACGGTACCTGCTATTTGCGTTCCCAACCTCTGAACCACGCAACTGCAACATTTTTATTTGGTGAATGGCTCGCCTAATATCTTCGAACCCCATCACCTTCCACAGCTTCCAACCATGCCTCCCAATTCCTCGCCACCATCCCTTCAAAACTCGCAAATTCCACACCTTATCTTGCCAAACAGATCCTAACCTCCACGAAAAGGAAACCCCTCCAACGGTATGTTTCCTTTCTCTGCTTTCGTAATAACAATACAACCAACGAACTTCTTTATTTCCTACCTTAACTTCCTCTAACCTCTGCTCAGGAAAAGAAACTGGTGGTCGAGTCTAACCCAGTCAATGGTCAAACCAACAAGACAACAGCAACTCCACTCCCTCAATTGCCCACCAAAGATGTCAACAACAAGATCGCGGTTGTTTCCACCTTAGCAGCTTTGGGACTTTTCCTATCTACGAGGTTGGATTTCGGTGTTTCCCTCAAGGACCTCTCTGCCATTGCAATGCCTTACGAAGAGGTTTGCACTTCGTTCCCCACGCTTATAAGCATCACTAATCATTATATCCCTCTTTCTCTTAGGGCATCTTTGGATAACTTAAAAATAAGATTTTGCAAAATCTATATGTAACTTCTACTAATTCAAATTAGTTTATATATAGTTCTGTTTGGATAAGTTTCGAAGGGAGAAAAATCAATTTGCATCCTCTCCTGCAGTATTCTTTTTCTAGCTTCTCTCCTCCAACATTAATAATTGTTCAAATTTAATCATTGATTCAAATTTAATCATTTAAGAAGTTACATTAATTATAAGATTAAATTTAAGTCTTTAGATATATCTTACAGGAGGGAGGCTGGAGAGAGAATATTGCAGGAGAGGATCCAAATTCGAGAAAAATAGCTTCTGAAGAAGCTTAAAAGAGAGAAAAATAAGAAAAAATTAAAATAATTTTTTCTAAAAGCTAAACCAAACAAATAAGATCTTAGAATAAGATCTTAGAGAAGCTAATGGGAGAGTTTTTCCAAAATAGCTTAGGCAGCTAATTTTGGTCTATGAAAAAACTTTTTTTTTCTCCCTTTTCTAGAAATGCTTTTCAAAAAATTTATCCAAATAGGTCTATAAACTAATTTTAGCTAAGGAAGAAGTTTATTTCATTATTTTCTTAAAATGACTTTCAAGAGAAGTTTATCCAACCATATCCTTAATTAATTATCTTGTGTTAATTAGGTTTTTTTCATTCGTGGTTGTTACATGATATATCTATTACCTGCCCCATATTTTCTTATACTATTTGTGCTTTGGTGTTGGATGGTCCAGGCTCTCTCCAATGGGAAACCCACTGTGGTGGAGTTTTATGCAGATTGGTGTGAGGTATGTCGGGAATTAGCTCCTGACGTCTACAAAGTAGAGCAACAATACAAGTAATCAATGAATCACCTTTATGCACACATGTATCTCTTTTGAATTTGTTACTCACTATTTATTATGATCAACATATTTTGGGAAGCATCTATTTCGCGAGTGCTAGCTAGTTCATAGTCCTGATACTGTTTTATTTCTTACCCAAGGGATCGAGTTAATTTTGTAATGTTGAATGTTGATAACACAAAGTGGGAGCAAGAGCTTGACGAGTTCGGGGTGGAGGGTATTCCACACTTTGCATTCCTCGATAGAGAAGGCAATGAAGAGGGCAATGTTGTGGGAAGGCTTCCAAGACAGTACCTGCTGGAAAATGTGGATGCCCTTGCTAGTGGACAAGCATCCGTTCCTCATGCTCGTGTTGTGGGTCAATATTCAAGTGCTGAAGCAAGGAAAGTGCATCAAGTTGTTGATCCAAGAAGTCATGGTTAGATGACCACGTATACAGTACCTTCTTTTACTGTTTCACAGTAACTGGTTTCATTTGTCAGTCAGCAAACAACTCATTGCTCTTGTTCATGAAAATTGTGCGAGTCTATCATAGGTTAGGATCTGAATCTAGGTATCAACGGCAATTGTTAGCTCAAATGTGTCTATACTCTCGCAATCTTGTTATAGGTGAAGATGCACTTGAATGCTTACAGGTCTGCTACTCTGCTCATTATCTGTTTATATCTGTATACCCCCTTCATAAAAAAAATATAAATACACGGAATTCTTAGTCTATCAAAGATATGATTGCTATACTCCACTACCCACGTCTAAGAAATTTAAACGACATCTGCTGAGTTTTTTTCAATTAATTACACGATACAAGTCTTGGGCCAACAGTGTGGTTATATTTTTTCTGTTTTCTACATGTGTCTTCCTTTTGCTTGGCCAATGTCTTAAGATTCAGTTATTTTATTATAACCTTTCAGAACATAGGTGAAAATTTTGATCGCATAGAAAGAAATAAGCAGCAAAATGGGCATGGCGCAAGCACTCCTGTCGAAAATACCTGTTACCGCCAGAAGATGTAGAGTTCTGACAAAAAAGATACTGAAGCAGCGTTAAGATAAATACATGGATCATGTGTTCACTTGGCATCAAGTACTGCCCGTAGGGCAGTGTAAAATTCTAATTAACCCAATTAAAAATCAAATAATGAAAAATATTTTTCAGATTAAGCTGGTTTATTTCTTAACAAAAAAGTTAATTGCTTATGAAAATCGGTTTTTATCCATGACAGAGGATAGCTCAACTAGTTAATTTTTTCTGTTAACAATCAGTTGATTCTGGTATTTTCCAATTCCTTTTGTTATGTTGATTTCAGCATTTTAGAGCAACGCTTGCTCTCCTCTTGCACCCTGTATATAAGACTCGATAGCGTGAAATGAATTGGATTTCCCACCTTTACAAATTAATACATCAGAAGTTAACCTTTTATTCTTCTTGTAACTCCTAATCTCCTATGTCCCATCCACGGCTGAAACCCTGCCCAAGATCCTTCCTGTTCATATTATATTCATCCAAATAAGAATACCCCATCTATCACAGTCGGTCTTGAGCCATGGTTTCAGTTAAAATCTGGTTATGAATTGCGGAGTCGCCGAAGAATTGGTATTAAATCTATGTTTTGAGAAAAATTTCTGTATAAAACTGGTTTTGGCTCAAAAATTGGTTTTGAATCGGTTTTAAACTGTTTTCTATTTTGAAAGAGGTAAGTGGTTCGATTTTAAAATTAAATTCAATTGATTAGTTTTTTCATATATTGAAACCATACATGCCAAAGGCTGCTTAAACTTGAGCATAATTTGGACTAGTCAGACCAAAAGCCCCATGATTTTGCGCATTTCCATCATTAGCTGCCATTACTAAATAAACAATTGTAGTCAAAGGTGGCTTTTCCAACCACAATTATACATATATAGGAACTATTTATAGTTTTGATCCTGTCTGCGTAGCGAATCTATATATTGATTTCTGATGATTTATGCATACGTAAAAATAGCTATAGCAACAAAAACGGAGGAAAGAAAAGTGTTATGTGCCTTTAGTATTCACATTGCTGGAGGCTATCTGTCACGGGATGACATTTCCCAACAAGCTGTTTGATGAAGGTGAGCTAGGTCCACTTGACCAACGATCATGCACTGATACAGGGGAGCTATCCTTCACCTCCACAGAATGCAAAAGACATTCTGTCTTCTGTGAAACAATCAATCTCTCACTCCCATGCCCAGCTTTTTTAATGCCACTCAGTGACCTCTCACTTCCATGGCGAGGTGATGAACTAGTGGAACCAATCGATGAAGCCGTGACAGTTTCCTCCATAGCTGCCCATCCACTTTGTCTAATGTGCTCTAGCTCCTCTGCCACTTCCATCATAGTAGGCCTCATGTCACTATGAAAAGCAAGGCATCTAAATGCAAGCTCAGCCACCTTATGAATAGAGTATAGTGTCCAAGCATCTCTATGTGGTTCAAGGAAGGGGTCTATGATCTCATCTATGGTACCCCTCCTAATCCTATCAACAGCAAGAGCAGCTAAATTTACCTCACTCCGAGGTCGAGCAAAATCAACCACTTTCATGGCAGTTATTATCTCTACCAAAACCACTCCAAAACTGTAGACATCACTTTTATCAGAAAGGTGAAAGTTCTGATGGTATTGAGGATCCACATAACCTGGAGTCCCTTGTGGGGCAGTTGAGATATGAGATGTTTCCATCATGCCAATCCTAGAAAGCCCAAAATCAGCTATTTTAGATTTGAAGTTATAATCCAAAAGTATGTTACTAGATTTTATGTCTCTATGGTAAATTGGAGGGTGAATTGCAGAATGGAGATATGCTATGACATTAGCAGTTTCAGTAGCAATGGTAAGGCGTATTGTCCACGGAAGTCCTTTACCCCTCTCTTTTTGCAAATGCTGAGAAAGTGTTCCATTTTGCATGTATTCATAAACAAGAATCTGCTCTCCCTTCTCTATGCAGCAACCTAAGAGGCGAACCAAATTTGGGTGACTCACTGAAGAAAGGAGCTTGATCTCATTCATGACTTGGTCAACGCTGTTGGTGTCTCTTTGCCTTAACTTCTTTATAGCAACCCACTCATCATTGTGCAGTTTTCCAGCATAAACTGTGCCAAAAGCCCCAGTTCCCAGCCTGTGTTTGTCAGAGAAAGAACTTGTGGCCTTCTCTATTTCTTTGTAAGGATAGAAAGGTACACTAGAGTCGCCTGCAGCTTCACGTAATTGGCGTTTTACTATGGTGTGTTTTCCCAACCAAGTAGAACGGCGCCAGGCACAATACCATAGAAGAAACACACCAGCCACCACCAAAGTTCCAGCTATGATCACTGTGAAGTGTGAACAATCATGCATCATTAATCCAAATATGAAATTTGATATGTTCTTTTTTCTATCCATGTTTGTATCAGGAAATGAGAAACAAAAAAAAAAAAACATGCATTCAATAATAGTTGACAGATTAACAAAGATTATTGTATGAAACAAATCTGCCACACAGGATTCAATGTAAGGTTCTATTATACCTCCAACAACAACACCGATTTTGGTTGCTTTCCCACATCCCCCGGACGTTATTGTTGAAGCACTGCAACTTGATGAAGCTGATGACAAGGCAAGAGAAAAAAATTAAAAAGATCACCATATGTGTATATATTTATTCTTGCTATAGTTATCTTTTGGTTCTTAAAATTTATAACTTTACATTTTTGTTCATAGTTAAAAATATTTTATTTTAGTTTCTATACATATTATTTTGTTCTCTTTTAATCTTTGTTTTCTAATTTTATAGAGATTGAAAGGGAAAGTTAATACAACTATAAGATTAGAAGAAAAAATTTATATAATTATAGACTAAAAAATTATACATTTATAAAAACTAAAAAAAAATAGTATGATAAAAACTAAAACGAGAATTATTAATTATAAATATTAAAAAATGAAGTTTAAGAATTATAAAGATAAAAAGATAACTAAATATATATTTTTTATTCATAAAATATTACAAAGATTAAATCTATGTTTTTATGCATCAATCTCAACCTATTTGTTTTGTGTATGTGTATACAGTAAATAATTATTATTCTTGATACGCGGTATCTAAAATCTTCCTCATTAATGGAGTCAAAGAGAACTTCATTCAATTTTTTTCTTTTGGAGACAGGATTGTTATTTAATAAGAATTTGTGTGTTTACTTTTTGAGTGTTTTTTTTTTTTTAACTCTTCTGTGAAGTTTTAATTATAATCCATTTTGAATTAAATCAAACCCGTGGAAATGTGCAATATGCAAAATCTACACGATGCAGCACTGAAAATGTTCCACCTCTTATGTCTGTAAAATATCTACTAGTATAAATGGTACTTCGTATCGCACTCAATATCATTATCAGCATAACGTGGGGTGATAAGAAAATTGTCGGTGGTGTGCAGATTCTTAAGGTTACAAGTAATTACCTTAAAATTAGGTCATTTCCTAATATTAATTGCACACGTTGAGAATGTATCGTCACAAATACCTCCCGTTTGACCACGACTTAATACAAAAATAAAAAGTTTATAAAAAAAATAATGAAATCCATCCTACCACGCATGTGCAGCCAGAAAATGTTGACTTTAGATTTTTTCAGGATACTGTTTGGTAAGTTAGTACTATTCAAAACAAAGAACGTGTCCTCCCACTCCCAACAAAAAAAAAAAAATCAAAATATGAAGCCTAGAACATATCCAATTTTCATATTCCCAATTTTCAGTGAAATTGGATTCGTTAGAGAAAGAAAAAACCAGGATTAAAAAACCAGGCTATCGATAGCTGCTTTGCTTCTTATCTAATCAAAATTAAGGGGCCTGTGAGGCCCTATGGTCTACACAACTACCACAATGGAATAATGGACCAGGTTATTTATCATAAAGGAAGAGTCAACGTGGTTAAGAGTGGAAACAGGTAGAGTTTAGGTAGGCTATTATAATGTATGTTTTGGTACTTTTATTCAAAATTGTCTTTGCACTTTTACACGCATGACTAAGTAATTTTAATAGTATGTATTCAAATATTTTAAGTTTAAACATATTTTTAAATCTATTAAATTTCAAATAAATTTGTTTTTTATTTTTCAAATTTAAAATTGATAAAATAAAATTGTCAAATATTATTACATAAAACCTATTTACTGGTATTCTTATTAGTAAAATTATCATATTAAATTTAATTGATAGTAAATAATTGTTCCAATATGTAACAGAAAGTTACATTCTTTCTATTTTAAATTTAAGATATTAAATGACATATAAATACAAAACCTTTTTTTTTTTATGTGTAAATCAAATTTGGTATTAAAAGATTACAACAATTCATACACCACCCTACTCAACTAACGAACTAAATTATCTTGTTAATACAATACGCATTTACCAAAAGTAAACGTTACTTGTACCGTGAATTTTACAAATAAAGATAAAAAAAAACATAACAAGCAATGAGATGCAAAAATATAAACACAAAAATTTATATTATATAAATTGTTATAACTTTATCCATCACTTTTCTGGTAATAAGGCATTCGAATCCATGTGTGGGTAAAACTCTAGGGATAACTATGGTCCACTGGGCCATTCCAAAGCTAAATAGAAAAGAAAACCAAAACAAATCTTTCATGTAAAATTTTATATGACAAGTGAGCAAAAGTTTTGTGCAAATATAATGTGAAGAAAATTCAAATTTAAATCCGGAGAATTATGTTGTATGATCTACTGCCTACACTATGGTTGAAGCAAGTTAAACAAGGTGCTATTTGCAAGGGGACAAAATTGAAAATTGAGATCTTGCCGCATAGAGCCGCAACCACACTATTATTCCACAAGTAAGAACCAAAACCATAATAATAATAATAATAATAATAATAATAATAATAATAATAATAATAATAATAAAGAAATGAATTTATATATAATAATTTGAACTAACCTTTCCGGCAACCGGTGCCGTGGACGAAGCCGTCACCCCAGAAACCTTGGAGACAGTGGCAGCGGAACCCTGCGTCCCCACCGTGGAGACGCAGCGTGGTACAGGTAGCGTTTTGAGAACACCGACAGTCCCCTCTGAGCCACCACCCCAACTCCACCACCTGAAACTGAAGCTGAATCTCCTGGCTCTGTGCAAAAGAAAGCGCAGAGAACAAGTACTTACACCTCGAATTGTTCAAATCATCGTACGATACAACATCCACTTCATCCTTTTGCTCCACCTTATTGAAGCAGCTTATGTTACTACTCCTCTCGTCGCAGCTCTCCACATCAAAATGCCTCCCCACAAAACTTGAAGCAGGAATAACGCACCCACCCAGCACCTCTCTGCAATCTTGCACCAGAAAGCTATTGTTCAACGTAGGGGCAAAATTCTCACCGAAAAGTGGCCCAATGGACTGCATGCTACGGTTGCATTTTGCAGGGAGATCCACCAATATGTTGCTGTTCGTTACGTTTCGGACCACAAATTCCTCAACTTGGACTCGCTTTTCTGAACACTTCAATCGGATTTCACAACCTTCGGAGAATCCAAAGGGAAATTGAAGAGTCTGATCCCCGCATTGGCGATTGCAGGTGAGGTTTTGTGCTTTTGTGGTGATCGCTACCAAGATTGTCAACACTATTGCAGCCAGATTTGATTGCGGGCAAAGAAACATTTTTTAGATGCAGACTTAACTTGCTTGAAATGGGTCATCAATTTCATCGGTTCATCACAGTCACACCCTTCTGAAAATAAAAGCAAATCAAAATTTGGTCTTTTGAGAAATTACGACAAACATGGTAGTACTAGTACAGTAGTAACATCTTTCATATGATGGATTAAATGTTGTGATCGATGCCGTTGGGTGGCCATCCATCTCAATTAATGCTGGCTCATACAAGAGAACAATTTTTCAATGGGGGGAAAATTGCTTTAAAAAAAAAACCTCAAAAATTGAATTAATTGTGCTGAGACATAAATACGCATACCTTGGAGGTTCTGCAGAGGTTGAAATTAATGACTGTAGCGGTTGAAGAAGTAGGACCAGGAGTATTTCCCCACAGACTCCCCCTCCAAGATCGAGTTTGAGGTTCAATAGAGTAATAAATTTTCGTTGGAAAGAGATGTTCTTTGTCTGCTTAATGTTTTTGTTCTTCTTTTCCGACCGAAAACAATAAAACGAAGAAGGTGCAAAAGCGTAGGTTGCGAATGGAAGGGTACTCTAATAAGAAACTTGGCTTCATTCACACTTGTTCTGTGGCGTCTGTGGTGGGTCAATGTCTTGGAAATAAAATACATGTGCCCATCGACATCTTTTTTTGTTTAGAGAAATGGCGAATATGCCCCTCACTGAATTTTCTTCTGCCCGAAAAGCCCTTGTTTCCTACGACAATTTACCTGCACGTAAAATTTTAGTCAATAAAAGGCAAATCATACCAAGTTTGACTTATATGACAGAGCTTATCTGGTTCCAGGCCTACACACTGTTTGCTTTTCAAACGGTCCTTATTAGTTGTAACCAGAAATGGTAAGGTATAGTGGTTAAATAACAATGATAATCTTTTGATCAAGAGTTTTTTTTTTTTATCTGTCTGCAATAATATTTATTGTGAAAAGTGAATTCCTTAAAGATATCCTCGAGAAAAGATAAATCATCAACAGGGTATATTGAGATGGAGGGTGGAGAGAGATAGAAAAAATAAAAATAAGGAAATTGTATACATAAACTCTGATTTAATAATTTTTTTCTATAAACACTTTAAGAAAAAATATAAATAAATTTAAAAATAAATTTTTTTAGTTAAAATTAACTTTTATATCCCAAAAAAAAAAAAACCAAATAAGCCTTCATGAGAAGCAGAACAGGAACAAAAACGACATAAGTTTCAACACTCCTTTGCAGCACCAGACACCGTTCCGTAAAATAACCGTTCAAATAAAACTTGCAATAATACTTCACGCTCGATACAGTTAATCCAAACGAAGCATAAATAACAAGAGCACGTTGTATGAGAGTGACGATTTGCAAGATGCAACTACATTTTCCAATGCACAGTCATCTCCTATCTATACCACTGTTGAACCCCTCACGCCCAGATTCTTTAACTTGGAGGCTCACCACCAATGGCTCCTACTCGGTACGCACAGCATATCACCATCTCATGGAACATGTCATCTCCAACAATACATTGAGAGTGCAGGGTGACTGGATGAAACTTTGGAGCTTGAAGATCCCTCACTCAACACAGATTTTCCTCTGGCGACTATTGAGAGGTTGCATTCCCACGCGCCTGAACCTACAACAGAAAGGCGTCCCATGCACGTCTTCTTGCCCCCATTGTTCTGCAAACCAAGAGAACGAATGGCACCTCTTCTATAGCTGCCCAGCCGCCTTATCCATATGGATAGACTCAGGATGTTGGCCGCGGATCGCCCATATAGTAGAGCAAGGCATCAGCTTCATCGACACCACGTGGAAACTGCTGGGTCACTTAACAGGTTCTGACTTAACATCGTTCACCCTCATGCTTTGGTGTATCTGGCGGCGGAGAAACGACAAAGTATGGAAGGAGGGTGCCCCTCCCCCAAAAACCTCAATCCAGCTAACGTAACAACATTTCCATGCATGCGATCTGCACACAGGAACTTGGCGCAAACTGCCTCCCCCGTAGTGAACCACAGATGGACCAAACCTCCAGCCGACACTTTCACGTGCAACGTTGATGCGGTGCTCTTCAACGATTCCTCTACCTTTGGGTTCGGTATTTGTGTCCGCGATACAAGAGGATTATTCCAGACTGCCATATCCGGATGGAAGCATGGCCTACCACCACCCCATGAGGCAGAAGCAGCAGCTATGTTGGAAGCAATCCAATATCTCATCCATTCTCCATACGATAATGTCTGTGTGGAAACGAATTACAAGCAAGTAGCGGATCATCTCAACAACACGCAGGTTCTTCACTCAGAATATGGGATCATTATAAATCAATGTAGATCCCTGTTACGTTCCCATCAAAACCTTCAGGTTAGGTTTATTAGGAGATAAGCCAATCGGGTCGCCCACACTTTAGCAAGGGTGGCTAGATCTTCCACTAGTCACCACTTTTTCGATTTTATTCTTCCATGTATTGCATCTCTTATCATTAATGAAATGAGTTAAGTTCATTTGCTTCAAAAAAAAAAAAAAAAAGGAAAACCAGGAACAACACACATTAAAACCAAATTTACTCCAAAAAAAAAAAAAACCAAATAAGCCTTCATGAGAAGCAGAACAGGAACAAAAACGACATAAGTTTCAACACTCCTTTGCAGCACCAGACACCGTTCCGTAAAATAACCGTTCAAATAAAACTTGCAATAATACTTCACGCTCGATACAGTTAATCCAAACGAAGCATAAATAACAAGAGCACGTTGTATGAGAGTGACGATTTGCAAGATGCAACTACATTTTCCAATGCACAGTCATCGATTTAGTTCGATACGAAAACGGTTATCGCGTGGAGAAAAAAGATGAGCAAGAGAACAAACCTCGTCTTCAAGGACAGAAGTTGGAGACTCCACTGCGGTATCCTCTTCCTTCACTTTATCCTTCGCCTCCATTTCAAACCCTAAGCGCAGAGCAAAACCAATTAGCTTATATTTTCGTAAGTTTATTTTAGTTTATAGAAAAAATAATTTCTTATTTTCATCTTATTTGTTTTTTTTATTTTGATAAGTTTACTCAAATAAACTCACAATATATAATATGTTGAAAAAAGGTAGATAGCGAAAAAAAAATCAAATATGAATTGTAATAATATATTTAAATAAACTTCTCTATAATATATTTAGAAGAGAAAAAAATAAATAAGTTTTTTTATAAACTTAAATTAATTTATATATAAACTATTTTATAAAAGTTATCTCATATTAACATCTCTAAATATTTATTTTATTTTTAAATTAAATTTTGTTTGGATAAAATTTTAGTCAAATTGATCGAATAAAATTTTCAGTCAATCAATTTCAATAAACTATTTTTCACAAATCACTCTAATTTGAAAATTTTACTATAGAAGATGACCACTACTTGTACTAATAAAGTTGAATTTTCATTTACAACATGATAGACAAAAGTTGCAAGTTTTTAGTTTAAATGTTTATGAATACACTTTAAACAATTAGACCTCCTCTTCCATAAGCTCGAGACTGGAGAGACTTTTGTATCAGCTATGGTCAAATAATAAATAAAATCTAAAAAAAAACATAATATAACATTTACTCATTACTTATTAATTAAATATTTTAAATATTATCTATTACTTTCACACGGACAATAATATATCTTCTATTATTTATATTTTTGCACTTCATTTTAAAAAAAATATTTATTCTTTATAATATACACACAAACCTTAAACATCTCTCATCAGAATCTCTTTAGATATATAACTAGTAATTCAAATACCAATTACGAGTTTTTTTTTTCTTTCGGCAAATGCATTGTAAGCCAAATTAATCAATTAAGAATAACATGTTGAGAAATTATATTATAATTTAAAATTTAAATTAAATATTTAATATGATTAATTCTTTTGTAGTTTTTATATAACGTTCCAAAAACTAATGGATTGTACGTGCACCTTGACCAAGACTCACGGTTTTTTCTTTTTCCTATTAGTTAGCACAATACATGCACTTATTTTTTGAAAGTTTTGCAAAACAAATTTTTAAAACCGTTACACGTATTGTTGAAGCTGAAAAAAAGAGAATCCAATTGTGCCTATATACATATATTAATACGTGAGAAAAAGAAATAGAGATAGACACAGTAAGTTTATTATCATCTCTCCCTCAATATTATTTTTATTACAAAATCATAATTTTTGAGCGGTACAGTCTAACGAGTTGACGTATCTTGGGAGAGGAGCACACTATAAGACTCTAAATTACCAGTGCAGTGGGAGCATTTTCTCTCCAAGAATAGCGTTCTGCGTGCTTCAACTTAGGTTACTCTAAACCTATTATTTAATATTCTAATTTGCTCTTTGTGTCTAATTAGTTGTTACTGATTACTCTGTTTTAATTTTATAATATTCATTGTGTTGTTGATATTGGTTTTATTGGAAAATTTAAATATATTTTTTTGTGTTTTATTAAATTTATTTTATAACAATCTTAGAGAGAAAAACCTTTTCTTGTTCAATATCAACATGTCTACAATGGATATTTTAAATTCTTTGAGTAATAAACCAGAAAAATTTAATGGTGAAATTTTTTTATGATATCTAACACTTGTATGATATCGTTTTAAGGGGGAAAATAATGGAATGGGTCCAGTTGCTACAAAATCACAGGAGGTTCATATGATTACAATTATTGAAATTAAATTATGTCTGTACATATATAGTACATTAGTTGACTATGAAGTTCACATTGGTTAGTGTAAGTAGTACTCTCTTAAGAGAACAAAATGATGACCACCACTAGTCCACTAGTTTGTTTGGTGTGATCAAATGACACGAAGGAAATATGGATGAAATGGAAGCAAAAAAGAATCAATTGGAGCCGCCGTGACGGCGAGGATTGACCACCGCGCCGTGGTTGAAGAATTATTGGGTAGATACCGTGTTTGATGTGAGATGCCAAGTCTGACGCAGCAAGCACCACATTCCAGTTACTCTTATCAATTAAATAATATATACTTTTTGTTTATTTATATATCCACGGCCAAAATAGTTGACTATTTATTATTTGTATGTGCGTGTGCAACTGTGCCAGTTAAGATAAAAGAATAAGATTATCCAATCTCATTCCTTAATCTGTAAAAAAAAATTATAAATTTGTCCGTGTCAAATTAACTAAAATGCGTTTGTCAATTCATTACCTCTTGCAAGTACAAAAATGGACGTCCATAAGATATTGTTGCAAATTCACAATGTCTGTTTCCGCCTGTTTTAGAACAGTAACATTTTCGGCTAAATAGACATCTATGACCATGATATCATATGGAATTATGGATATTATTTTTATTTCCCTTTTACTACAACTTTTATATCATTTACTTCTTTTGTTGTTGTTATATATATAATATTAGTATTTTAGTCCTAAATATAATATTTAAATATATAAATTATATTTAAGATTTATGATAAATAATTTATATAAATTTTAAATGGTAGGCATGAAATCACATCACTTGAAACTTGAAAGTGGACAAGTTAAAGGCACACAGTATTTCATGGTTGCCAAAATCCACTCAAAATTAAGCACAACGCATTCAG